CTATAGCTCAAATCCTCCAGTCCCGGCAACATCCTTGTAAATCTTTTCTGAACCCTTTCAAGTTTAACGACATCTTTCCTATAGCAAGTATTAGTTAAAACCAAATATTGCAGCTCCTGGAAATCTAAAACAAAAAATGACAAAGAAGATTCTAGAAACATAGAGCAGATCAGTCAGCATCTGTGGAGGAAACAGCCTAGCTGTTTAAAGTGCACACCTTTCTTTAAACCCTTGGTCTGAATCTAAAACAATGGCTGCATTTTGCAGAAAAATTATGGTGTCAGAATGAACACGTGGGTTACTGGAGCATAGATCAGCCAACAATTCGTAGCAAGGCACAGAAACATTGTAAACTATGAATCACCATAAGTTTACTGTCCATAATGCAAAGTTCCACTATAGCTTCATTTAACCTTCATGCAATATTCATGAAGTTGCAGCATTTGCACATTAATTGCTGATTAAGGTCTTGTAATTAGATGCAGCTACTTTTAACAATACAATTGCTAATGATTGCCAAGCAATCTTGGAAAGAAAGTAACCAATTATAAATGTGGAATGTTGTTCCTTCAGATCACAAATATTTCTGATATTTTGAAAAGGTCAAGATAGTTTTTTTTTGTTATTTCCCTGTTTCTTTTTCTCTTAATACAATTTTTATTTCCCTGCATCTGATTTGATGTTTAATTCATCATTCTGAGCCTTTCCTATTTACTTCTCAAACACCAACATCTTTTATTTATTTAGTGACTTTAACATAATAAAAGGTCCTTGGGTGTTTCACAGGAGTATTGTCAAACATAGTATGACACTGAGCCACATGAAGAGATAGTAAGTTCAATGACCAAAAGTTAGGTTTTAAGGATTATCTTAAAGACACAAAGCAAGATGGAAAGTTATAGAAAGGGCATTTCAGAGCTTTTGGTCTAGCTGATTGAAAGTATGACCATCAGTGGTGGAGCAGTTAAAATCCTTAAATCTTATAAGTTAGTAAGATGTACAGTTTATCTTGTTGTTTAGACACTCCCAAAAGCTTTTGGTAATTCATCAACTTCACACTTTTTTCGACAATTTTGTGGACAAAACATCTGAAAATAAACATTTGTAAACATGCAAAAGCAAGTCTAACAGAGCAGGTCACAAAATGCCAGCATTAACTTTTAATTAAATCATTGACATTTTATTCTCTATTCAAATACTTAGTGATCTGCTATCTGTTTCCAGAATTTGCAAACAGTGTTTGACAGTTTGTTTAGCAGCAGAGCTGTCCCTTTCTCTGTTGAAATTCAGAAGAGTTCATGTTGAAATACACTAGTTAATGCTGCATGTAGATTTATAACACTGAAGATCTTAAAACTTAAATGTTCATATAAATCTATGTAATTCCCCACATAATTTGTAGGTTAGGAATGTAGGGAGGAACAACAGAAGACTAGAGGTCAGAAGAAGCTTAAGTTGAGGCATTTGAAATAGCTAGACAAAATGTTATTGGGAGATAATTTCAAAAATCAAGGCATGGTATCTGAAATAATAGCTTCTACTGCAATAGCAAATAAAACAGGAATCAAGCAGTTGAGTCACAAGTGCAGAATGATTAAGCAAGGATAAATCTGGAATAGGATGGTTAATGAAGGTATTTAAAGTGTAGGATTTTGAATTCAATTTGGAAAGGTTTTTCTCAAAACTTCGCAAAGACAGGTGTGAGGGAATCTATATTTTGGATTTTCAGTGTTTTAGATGTGGAACCATTGCAATTATGCAACTGTAGGAGTGACTTTTGGTTAACTGAATCTTGTAACATTTAAAATACTGAATGTATCAAGCTTCAACAGGTTAGATACTGCTTCAGGACAGGAATGGAACCCTTCTGGGGGATATTAGCACGTCACGCAGCAGTGTGGGCATAATGACCAGCAGCCTGTCCAGAGAGGACGAAACAGCAAAACGTTGCGATCTTTGTGCTTTTGGAAAGATCAGGGTCAGAGAAGCCCATGGGGAAAGCAGTGTTGGCATGGCAAGGCTGAAGAACAATTATCCACTGAACCATGAAACTGGCATAGGCAAAGGAAAGGCTGTGAGGAATTGGGTTCTGCTCTGAGCAGCTAGGAATTTGGGATCATGCCAGTGATTAGATGTTAGATGCTAAGATGCTCCCTTGTGAATCCTGTAGGCTGCACTCTCAGGAGAAGAGGGTTAGCAGTTATTTAGGCATTTTAAGTTTGACTCCTGTTACCTGACAATTATTTGCAGGCCAAGGAAGCAGGAAGGCCTCCAGGCACCTTTTGAGGGAATCAGACTAGATGCTCAAAAGATAAAAGCTGAAATCCATTGTGAAGAAGACAAACTCTAAAGAAGTTTTGTGATTTATATCTGGGAGAGATACTGAGGAAATTAATGGAATCAATTCTAGTTGTAGTCATCTACCACTTAATGTAGAATTGGTGGTGTATTCAACATCAATGTATCAATTAATTCATGTTTGTTTATTTCATTCTCTAACATGATATTGGCTTTTTGCCTTGTTGATTTGCAGTTGGAACAGTTTATTTCCTTTCATTTGTGGTATCTTGTTTTATTTTCAGTGATTTCTAATTTTGGCTACTTAAAATCAAAAACTAACCAGATCATAAAATAATTTAGAGACTTGCCCAGGATTGTAACATAAGGATGATGTACATTGCATATGGATACGAGCTGCAAAGCACTAAAATGACATTTATGAAGGGAAGAAATAGAAGAACAGTGAGGAGATCATTGAGATTGTAAAGGCAATGATTAGGGTTTTTCTTATGTTGAAAGAAAAAAATGGAACATAGTCAAAACAATATTCTGGAGGAAGAAGAATGTGAATTCGTTGACAGTGTGCATGCAGGTAAAAAGTACATTTCAGGAGTGGAGTAAGATGCTGAGAACATACACCACTACCAGAATGAATTAAAAAACTGGCTACAAAACATTGAACAGTTTAAGGATAGCTCCTCTGAGTTGCAAAGAGTGGGAAATGGTTTTGCAAACAAATTGTTGCTATACCACCATTGTTCTCAATGTACATTATTGATTTGGACTTGGGGGTCAGAAGTGCACTAAAACTTGCAGAGAAGACCAATTGAAAAGTATAGTTAATACAGAGGAAAATATGACAAAGTACAAAATTTTAATAAACTTGCAAAATTGGTGTGTAACTGGCAAATTAACTTCAATATTGACAAATGTGAAGGAGTGCATTTTGTAGGAAGATTAAAAAGACCCCATACTGATTGAATGCTGAATTGAAAGGAGAAGCAATGAGGTCTAGGATACTGATATGCAAGTCACAAAATTCATGTTTTTAAAAATGCACACCAAGCACAGAGATCCAGGAAGACTGAAAAGCAGAGAAGTTATATTAAACTTGTACTGAACCTTCGTTAGACCTCACATGAAGTACTGTACAATTTTATAATATGAAGACCAAAATTATTGAGTAACTGGATAAGATCCAGAGAAAATTATGTAGGATTATACCACTGAGAAGATATATTTATCAAGACAGGGTGGACTCCTCTGAAGAAAAGAGAAGTCACCTGATAGAGGTCTGAACATAGAACTTAGAACAGTACAGGCCCTTCGGCCCACGACGTTGTGCCGAACTTTTACCCTAAACCTAAGGTCTATCTAACCTCCACCCCTACCTTATATTATCATCCATATGCCTATCTAATAGCCGCTTAAATGCCCCTAATGAGGCCAACTCCACTACCCTCTCCAGCAATGCATTCCATGCCCCACCACTCTGAGTGAAGAACCTACCTCTGACGTCTCCCCGACATCTACCTCCTTTCACTTGAAAACTATGTCCCCTCGTAAAAGCTACCTCCACCCTAGGAAAAACTCTCTGGCTATCTACTCTATCTATACCTCTGATCATTTTGTACACCTCTATCAAGTCACCTCTCATCCTTCGTCATTCTAAAGAGAAAAGCCGTAGCTCTCTCAACCTTTCCTCGTAAGACCTCCCCTCAATTCCAGGCAACATCCTTGTAAATCTCCTCTGCACCTTTTCTAACACTTCCACATCTTTCCTGTGATGAGGTGACCAGAACTGGACACAATACTCCAGATGTGGCCGAACCAGGTTTTTGTATAGCTGGAGCATAACTTCACGGCTCTTGAACTCAATCCCTCTATTAACGAAAGCTAACACACCATACGCCTTCTTAACAACTCTATCCACCTGGGTGGCAGCTCTCAGGGAACTGTGAGCATGAACCCCAAGATCCCTCTGCTCCTCCACACTGCCAAGAATCTTTCCGTTAACCCCGTATTCTGCTTTCAAGTTTGTCCTTCCAAAATGAATCACCTCACACTTTTCAGGGTTAAACTCCATCTGCCACTTCTCAGGCCAGCTCTGCATTCTATCAATGTCCCTTTGTAACCTAGAACAGCCCTCCGTACTGTCCACATGACCCACCTTCGTATCGTCCGCGAACTTGCTAATCCACCCTCCCACTCCTTCATCCAAGGAGTCTAACATTATGAAAGATTTTGATAGGGTTGTTGTCAAGAAAATATTTCTATTTGTGGGGGAGTTTTCAAATAGAGGTTAGTCATGTGTAAATCTAGTGAGGAATTCAGGAGAGTTTAAAATCCAGAGTGGAAAGAATGCAAAACACACTACCACAAGTAGTAGTTGAAGCAAACAGCATATATGCACTTAAGTGAAAGTTAGAGAAACACATGAGGGAGTACGGAATAGAATAATATGTTGAAAAGGTTAAATGAAATAGGAGGACTGAGGAAGCCTGTATGGGGCCTAAATACCATCACCGATCAGTTCGGCCAAAATGGCAAGTTTCTGTTCTGATGACTTGATGTAACTCAATGCAACAGATTCAGTGTGAAAAACAACAAGGGAATTGGAGTTGAAGACAATGCATGTTGCAACTGTTGAATTAATAGCAACTCTCATTCAGGACACTATGCCAAGCAATCAAAAAAAAAAACAACTTAATACTTATAAATCTGTCTTAATATTTCATGCAAAGTTTAAAAAGTTATTACATCATTTCAAATTTTCTCTTCGGAATTACGAATGATTCATGAAGCTACAAAACTGAGATATGAGAGAAGATAAATGTTTAAAGCTGTAACAGTTCTAGCAAAAAAAAAGGCTGTGGAATTATTTTGCCAAATAGCCAAGTGCTGTCAAGATGATATCTCGACCAGAATTAACAGTAGATGTAACTTCCTCTTCGGTTTTTCCTAAAGATGGGTTAACTTCCACTAAATCAATTGCTGACAGCAGGCCTGTAAATATAAGTATATTGTATACTTTATGTTTGGAAATACAGTCTGACATTTAATATACTACTAGCAGAGAACCAAAAAGTATTCACAGTCAAATCAGTATCTTTATTGCAATGGTATTATTTTAAATGCACGATTTCTAGTTATTTTTTCACCAAAGACTTTAACAGAATCTTAATAAATTCACTTTGGACAAGCTACATAAATCTACCTACACGTGTAAAGAGGTCTAGCAATTTAAATACAAATGCTGTTAAAAGTCTGTCTTTGTAAGTTATTTAAAATCATATACTATAAATGTCTAAGCGAGATCTGGTGAGTGATAACATTTATGCTCTGTAACAGGCTTCCTCAGACCTCTTTTCATTTAAATGTATATTATGCTATTCCTTTCTCCATCATGTGCTTCTCTAACTTTCACTCAAGCGCATATATTCTATTTATTTCAACCGCCACTTGTTTTCTTCAGAGTTGAAAAGACACAATTATGTCTGATGGGCTCCATATCCTTTGAGATTAAACAGACAGTGAGATTTCCACCTGGGTCATCCAACACAGCAGAATTAATTTTTATTAAATTTAAAAAAAATTCAGATACAAACAAACAATGTGCACCATTATGATTCCCACTGTCGAGAGAGCTTGGCATTGGCAGGCTGTAAAACTGCAGGCAGATTGCAGCTGCACTTGAGATTTGAGTATATTTAAAGGGCAGAAGCACCCCAGATATCGGGTGTTGTCTCACTGAACGCCTTGAGCTGGACCAGAGGTTTTGTTGGGGCAGATTGGAGGGTGGAGAGTCGAATACAAGAGCCTCTCCAATGCTGAGGACAATTATAACAATTTCATATAGTTTATGATCAGTTCCCCACAGTAGTCGTCGGAACTGGTGGTAGCAAAGGCAGATGGAAGGGAAATGCAGTAGAGACAAAGCCATACCATTTCTGCCATCTACCAGTGGTGAAAAGGATGGAGCAGCCATCAACAATCTAGGTGAGAGTGGGTGATGTTAATGAATGTAGGTTAGGTCTAGTTGTGAGGCAACAGTAAGGCTCACTGCCTGACTTCCCTCAAAGACTGCAGTGATTACACACAATTTGTAATTGTAGTAAAGCATTCAGTTTAATGGCTGTAGACTTGAATTCTTTCCTGAAGTTAAACATGGCTTGTGCCCTTTTCAGTTTACATCTGTATACCATGAACTGTCCAGCATGAACCAAAGATAATGGTTTTCATTTTTCTTTGTTTCCTTCTTTGAACAAACCTCAACTACCCAAATTCTGATATACTTGCACCCACAAATTAGTAATATATTAAAATGTCACTTGTCCCAGGTTTCTAAACTTACACATTTGCCCAATGTGGCCAGTACCATGGACGATATAAATGTCTTTTAATTTTATTCCTTTCCCCCATACCTGTTTTATGGATTTCATTTGCCACGAAGATACCTTGTTCATATGTGAGACCACCCTCTACAGGGGTTCCTGTAGCAGGTGCCAAAACAGGATCAAATCCATCAATGTCAAAACTAAGATGGATTGGTTTCTTTCCTCTGAGAAAATCAAATATTAGCTAGAGTGAGAATTTATTACAAATGGATTGAAATCCAGTTAAAAAACAATGACCAAAGAATATCATTACAGCTGTGAAGCACCTTAGGATTTGTTTATATTAAAGATTCTAGAAAATGCACATTGCTCATCTATAATTTTTATAGGCAGCTAATGAACTCAACATTGCTAAAATCCGTACCTTGAATACAGGTAATCGTTGGTCATCTCCATGACTTTTTGTATTCCCATGTGATTTACATCTGTCATTGAGAAGAATTTAATTCCTAATCTCTTTATAATCTCCCTGAAAGGATCAAGTAACAGCATTACCCATAGTTAAAGCAACATAAAGAAAGTAAAAGAGAATTCCTGTTCTCAACATGAGGTATCCATGCTTGCTCAGATCCGAGAATTCACTGCAGTACAGTACAGACAGAGGGTGCTGCTTAATTCTTGGACGTTTTGGTGCAGACGACTAAAGGTTGCAGCAAAGTTGTGTGATGGACAGTGAAGAAAAATAAGGAAGTTCACAGGGAGGAGCATTGCATTTACCGTCCTACAGCACAAAATTGTCAACTGCAGAATCTAAGCTGGATTTATTTAGCAACAGCTCTCATTGCTGTATTGATGCTTCAGAGGCCAGTGTCCCCAGTTTAATCCTGTCTGCAAACACAGCTTACCAGTTTATTCTTTCATTACTTTCCCTGTTTAATAAAAAAGTTAAGATTATAAATTAGTGGAAGCTTTCACAAACCAACTGATGATCCCTCATGCAATCATGACAGTTTCATGCTAGCATAGCCAATATGAAAAGAATAATTATCCAGTCAGGTTTAGAATATTGTGGTGCTAAGAATATCTAGTCTCTCTACCTTCATTCTTGATGCTGCGATTGCAATGACAGCAAGTTACATGGCTGATGATGAAAAGTGCATATATATTTACAAATAAGTTATTCTGTTTAAACTTAAATTTCACCCTTGCCACTTTTGTCCCCTGAGAAGGTTCTCTTTTTCCTTTTCCTCCCACTATAACCAGGTTTTGTCCCAGGGTCTGCAGCCATGGTGGAAGGAGCCTACTCTGTAGTGTAGACTGTTGGCCTTGGAGTTTTGAGCAGGCAAGTCCAGGACATCTATGGTTAGAGGGTTCAGACATTCCGAGAGAGGGTCCAGGCTAGATGCATGTTCACCCATCTTGGCCTGAACTTCCACAGGGTTGAGGGTCACATGCAGAATGCAGGTTGTGAGTCCAGCAGCTCTGCAGTATCCCGAGAGGAGATTTAATGGAAGACCTCTGACAGCACTGGCACCACCTGTTCCCTTGAGACAAGGGGCACCTGGAGTGAGATCATGGCCACTTGTTCCTCTGTCACCTTGCTCTTCGTGCTGAGCACCAATAGCTACAGTGGTAGAGTACAAGCCCATATCGGAAGCAACTGAATGTGCTGGATTCTGTTCTTCCAGGGAGGTGCCAACTTGTCCATGGCATCCCTTAGCACAGTACAAATGGCATTTGTGTCTATCAGTTTGGCAAGTGTCTCTGACAAGCCTGCCTGCTACTACCGTGTCAGCTTATGCACCTTGAAGAAGTTATTAATGGCCAATATGAAATCAATTAATACAATATCTCTCCCAACTGGAACTAAGCAGATGCCTGGTCATTGGCAGTCCTTTCAATGCCAGGGTCCTGGGGTGTTTCTTCCTTGGCCATCAGAGCTTAGTTCAATCCAGAGTGCAGGAGGGCATGCCATGAGTAGCAACCGGCATTCCTAAAAATAGCGTCAACCTGGTGAAGCTACAAAAACCAGAATTACTTCCAAAACAGCATAAATAGCAAGTGATTGAGCTAAGGTGATCGCACAAACAATGGATCATGGACAACCATGATCAACAGCTCTGAAGTCCTGGTGCAGGCTGCTGTGAATGGTGGCAGCTAATTAGACAACTCACTAGGGTAGGAGTCTCCACAAATATCTCCACCCTCAGTGGTGGGGGGAGCCCAGAACATCAGTGCAAAAAATAAGGCTTTAACCAGAAGTGATTAGTGAATGATGCAATTTGGCCTCCACCAACGCTGTCTAGCATCACAGATACCAGTCTTCAGCCAATTCGATTCACTCCACAAGATATCAATAAACAGTTGAAAGCAACTGGATGCTTGCTGCAAAGGCTTTGGGCTTGACAATATTTTGGCAAAAGATTTGTGCTACAGAACTTGCTGCATCCCTAGCCAGGCTGTTCCAGTACATCTATAATACTGGCATCTAGTGGAATTTGGAAAATTGCCCAGGTATATCCTGGACACAAAAAGCAGGAGAAATCCAATCTGGCCAAGTATCACCTGTTTAGTCTTCTCTTGATTGTTAGTAAAGTGATGGAAAGTGTCATCAGCAGTGCTATCAAGCACCACCTGCCTGATGACATCCAGTTTGAGTTCCACCAGGGCCACTCAGCTCCTGACCTCATTATAGCCTTGGCTCAAACATGGACAAAAGAATTAAATTCCAGACATAAGGAGAAAGTGACTATACTTTTTAGTGATTGTAATGAGGTCAAAGAATACAACTCAAAGAATACAAGTTCTCTGATTGAGGCTGTTAACCTGGTTCAATCAGGGAGCCCTGACAGTTGGACAGGAGTGTCAGAGGTTCTGTTCACTCTGACAGCTGGCTTTGAGGAAGCCAGACTTATGTCAAGAAATATGCATGTATAAATAAGGGTGACTTGGAGATGGGATACCGACTTCTGTGGAGTTATTTCAGTGGTGACAAGAGGAAAAAAATATGGTCCTGAAGAAATTTGCTTGTAACAGTTGTATTTGAGTTGGGGTAAGCATTTCTGGCATCATGCTATTATTTGGGAAGCTTGACACATTCAAACCTGCTGTTAAAGACTGGGTTCAGTATGTGGAAAAAATGAAATATCTTTTTCTGGGCAAATTGGGACAGATGAAAAACAACGAGTAATTCTCATGACAGCTTGTGGACTCATAGTATCTCCATTATTAGAAGTTTAATGTTACCTAAGGGATCAGATACTAAAACATTTAAGAGTTGATGGATTTAGTTAAGAAATATTATGACCCCAAGATGCCTCTAGTGCTGAGACGCTACTGGTTTTACTCAGCAGCTCAAGAACCACAGGAATCAGTGTCTGGATCTTTGAGGAGATTAAGATGACTGGCAGAGGCATGTGACTTTGGTTTAACCCTTCAAGAGAGTTGCTGAGAGATTGTTTGGCATGTGGAATTAATGATATAACCATGCAAAAGCACTTACTTGCTGAAGCCAAACTGGACTTCAAACAGGCACTACAACTGGCTTTGTCATTAGAAAATGCAGCAAGTGGAGCATATGGGTTACAGGGTATGCCAATAGAAGTGGACACACTCATTATAGAACATTGAACAGTACAGGCCCTTTGGCTCACGATGTTGTGCCGACCTATTATCCTACTAAGATCAATCTACCCTCCATACCCTACATTTTACTATCCTACAGTCCAACTGAATTTGGCAAACACCACTTAAGTGAAGGCAATTGCATAGTTTCACTCAGGACATATCTTGAACAGAGGGACTCTGGGTCAGCTCACAGCAAAACCCCAAAACAAGGCCAAATTCGGCCAAACAATTAAAGTTTTTCAGGATCCAAATCAGCATGCCTTTGCTGTTGCTGCCGTTATACGGATTCAAGACAACAAAGGAGTGTGAATAGGCCTGAATTGAATTAAAGAACTCATAGGCTGGTATCCAGGAGAGTGCACAACCTGTAAAGCCAAACTGTATCTGGCTTGAAACAGTTAAATTGCTTAGCAACATCCAGATCAAAACCAATCAAAATAATTGCCTGGTTAAGTGGTCATCCGGTTCTAATAGGAGGTTGATACTGGCATGGCTGTATCAATAATTTCAGAACCAGTCTTTAACAATACTGACTTTGGATTCCAGCCCTTAAGTTTGCAGAAGGCCTTGGCTAAACTGAGAACCTATACTGGGGGACCTTTACAGATGAAGGGTACAACTTCAGTTCCGGTCTCTTATGAAAAGCAGCTGGTTCAATTACTACTGATTGTAGTAAAAAGCTCAGGTCAAAGCCTAATGGGGTGAAATTAGTTGAGAAAGATTCACCTTGATTGGCTTAATATTTTTCGATTAGAAATTAGCTGCCTGAGCGAAGTCCTAATTAAATACCTAAAAGATTTTCAGGAAGGTCTCAGGACTATCAAAAGGAGCCAAGTCCCCATGCATGTTGGCTAGTAAGCAATTGTATTATTCTGCAAGCACCCCCACAGCGCCATTGAGGCAGAAATCAGAAGGCTGGAAAGCAAAGGAATCAAAAAAGTAGCTTCCAGAATGGGCTGTACTGGTTGTACCAATGGTGAAGGGTGATGGGTGGTTCGTTTTTGTTTGGATTTTAAACAAATGGCAAACAGCTTCTCGCAGTTGGATAAATACCCAATCACTTGCTTGGAAGACTTGTACGCAAAGTTGCCGGAAGGAGGGGAAGTCGTGGTTGTGGGGCCTCGCCTTCACAGAGCCATTTAGGGTATCATCAGCCCGTGCCATTTTCAGCAGATGGAGAGCATTTTACAACATCTACCTCTGGTCACCATCTATCTGGATGATGTGCTAATAACAAGGAAGACCAATAAAGAGCACTTTGAGAACTTGGACATTGTCCTTAGACGTTTCTCTAAGACAAGCATAAGCCTTAGCACAGAAAAATGTGTTCCAGGCACCCGCAAATGTCTTACTTGGGATGCAGAGTCAACAAAACCAAGCAACACACATTGGAAGACAAGTGAGGGCAATCGAAGTTGCCCCAGCTCACATCTGTACCAGAGCTTATGTCTTTCTTTTGGCTTGGTGAAGTATTATGGAAAGTTTCATACGTAACCTGTCCTCCATTCTGACAACCTCACGTCTGCTATTGAAGAGGGTCAGCCTTGGAAAATGGTCTCATAGCCAAGAGGTAGCCTTTAGGGAAGTGAAGAAACAGCTATCATCATCTAAAGGTACTGGCTGACTACGATCACAAGTGAGATCTGGTGTCGACATGTGATGCCTCCCCATACGGTATCAGGGTAGCATTGGCTCAGATGGCCCAATGGAGCGGAACACCCAATAACGTATGCTTCCCAGACTTTGGCTGTTGCAGAGTGCAAATATGCACTAAGGAAGGTTTAGCAGTCATCTTTGGTGTGAGAAAGTTCCACCAATACTTTTAACAGACATAAATTTATAATAGGAACTGAGCACAAACCTCTGCTAGGTTGAAAGAGGGCAAGGCCATTGCTTCAAGTTGAATTCAGCTGTGGTACTCATTCTGAGTGGCGTACAATTACAAGTTGTAACACCATCCAGGAGGCCAAGTAGCAAATGCGAATACCTTGAGCTCCTTCCTGCTGGCAGATCGAGTGACGGTACCACCGGTGGTGCAAGTGTCTGTTCTGGTTTGAAACTTTCTGGACATCCTTCCGGCCACCGCTGACAATAATCGGGCTGTGGACCCAAAAAGGTCCGGTCCAACTAAAACAGCTGGTGGTGACTGAGGAAACAAAAGGGCCATCACAACCAGAACGGAGGCGTTTCTGGACCCAGCATGACCAGATCACTGTAGAGGATAGCATCTTATTATGGGGAGCAAGAGTGATTATCCCAAGCAAAAGGTGCTGCCAGATACTAGGTGAACTCCACCAGGGGTCTCCAAATGAAAACGTTGGCGAGACTTTGTCTGTTGACCAGGATTGGATGGATACATAGCCGCATTGGTGGGGCAGTGCCCAGAGTGCCAATGAGGACAGCTCCTCCACATTCTTGAGTGACTGTGTAAACCCTGAACTAGATTATATGTCAACTATGATGGCTCCTTCATGAGCTCAACATTCTTGGTCATTGTGGACACCCACTCAAAGTGGTTTGATGTTCATGGAGTTCATTCGTCAAAACAGGGACGGTCGTAGAAATGCTGTGAGCATCATTTGCAATACATGGGCTCCCAGAAGTGTTGGTCACAGACAATAGGCTATCATTTACCAGCAGGGAATGAGTCAAATAAAGTCAAATGGCATTCAGCATATAAGGACAGCTCCATACCATCCATGGTCCAGCTGTCTGGTGGAAAGAGCAGTCCAAAATTTGAAGGCAGGCTTAAAGAAACAGCCTAAGGCTTTGTTTGATACCAAACTGTCCCAGTTCCTATTAGATTATCAAACAACCCCTCATGCAACTACAGGAATCGATCCAGTAGAGTTGTTAATGGGAAGACGACTCCACACCAGGTTAAATCTGATCATCCTGACCGGGGGATAGTGTGAAATAGCATCAGGGACACCAATGCTGGATACAAGACTCCTCTAAGTGAGAGACAGTACACTTCAGGGGATGAAGTTTGGTGTTGAAACTACAGAAGTGGCCCTGTATGGGAAAGAGGCATGGTTGATGCAAGGTCAAGTTCCATGACATACATGTTTGGGTAGGTGAGGCACTCCTGAACAAGCACATGGATCTATATGAAGGCTGCAAACTCATGAATGGGGCAGCAGCAAAACATACCTGGCCCATCAGAACAGCTGGAAAGGCTGTCTGAACCCATGCATTCTCCCCCCTCTATCTAGCATCGAAGAAACCGCGAAGTCTGAGATGGACACAGTGGATGTCACAGTCTCGACACCTCTACCATCTGAAGAACAAGACGAATTTCTTCTGAGACGCTCCAGGTATGAGAGGTGGGCTAAGGTCTGGTACATGCCGTCCATATCTGAGGCTGAGTCGGAGGAACCAGACCTGGTGTGAAAATGCCCAGGAGAGACAAGAAAAAGAACATGCCTATGTCCTTGGACTTAGAGTAGAAGTGATACAGTGATCATAACAAAGTCAGTAAAATGGAACTCAGAATAGGAGTTCCCTGATTGGCGCAGTTAACCTGGTCCAATTAGGGATCCTAGCAGACAGAAATTAACAGGAGTGTCAGTGGTTCTATTCACTCAGAGCTGGCTCTGAGGAAGCTGGACCAGTGTCAAATGCTATACACGTGTAAATAAAGGGTGACTTGGTGACGGGATACTGGCCTCTGTGGAGTTATTTCATTCTTGACATCAAGGCCACAACTGACTGTCTGAACCATCAATGAGCCCTAGAAATTTGGAGTCAGTGGGAATTGGGAAAACTCTTCACTTACAGTTTAGAGTTAGAGTCATACCTCACATAAAAGAAGATGGTTGTGACCGTTGGAGGTCAGTCATTCCCAGATTCAGAACATCTTTTCAGGAAGTCCTCAGGGTAGCGTCAGAGGCCTAACCATCTTTAGCAGCTCCACCAAAAACTTTCGCTTCACCACAAGGTCAGAAGTGGAGCTTTTCACTGCTGATTCAGTACTGAAAATTGTGCACTCAGTTCATTCAGGACTCCTCAGATACTGAGGCAGTCCATATCCAAATGCAGCAAGACGTGGAGAATATCCAAGCTTGAGTTGACAAGTGGAAGTACCATTTGCACCAGACAATGATCATCTCTGAAATGACACAACCTAACCGTTGCTACTTGCCATTTAATGGCATTACCACTGCTGAACCCTCCTGTTGGCGAGGTGATGGCCTTGTGTATTATCACTAACTATTAATCCAGGTCCCAGGTTCAAATCATGCTATGGAATAGGAGAGTGTAATGATGATAGTGAAACTGTTGTCAGGAAAGTCCCATCTGGTTCAGTATCGCTCCTTAGGAAAGGAAACTGCCCACTTTAATAACTCAGCATGTATGCGAGTTCAGACCCAGAGCAAGGTGGTTGACTCTTAACTGCCCTTTGGGCATGTAGGGTTGGGCAATAAATGCTGATCCAGCCAGCAACATCTACATCTCGTGAATGAATTTCCCCAATCAACATCCTTTGGTTGGGGGTGGGAAGGGAAATTATCGTTGACCAGAAATTGAATTAACCTAGCCATATAAAAGTACTGTGGCTACAACAAAAGGTCAGAGCCTAGGAATTCTGCAGAGAGTAATATACTTCGTCTCCTCAATGCCTCTTCACCACCCACAAAGGTCTGGGTGCGATGCTCTTCAGAGGGTTGGAGATGAAGATTATATTCTTTTAATGTTTAACAGTAACCGCCAATCAGCTGGTATAGAAGAATGGGCTTGATGGGCCGAATGGCCTGTTTCCACATTCTAGGGATTGTGTGATTCCAAGTCAGGAGTGTCATGAAATGCCTGGATGAATGCAGCTCCAACAATGCTCAGGAAGTTTGAAAACATCCAGAACAAAGCAGCTTGCTTAATTGGCACCATGTCACCAGCAGTGGGTACAATCTACAAGATGTACAGCAGAAATGCAAAAAAGCTATTTTACAGCATCTCCAAACCTTCGAACACCACTATCTAGAAGTACAAGGGGAGTGGATGCAATGGAAACACCACCACCTACAAATTCCTCTCTAAGCCACTCACCATCTTGACTTGGAAATATATCACTTATGGATAGTAACTCTCAACTCGCCTCTGAAGTTCAGCATTTTTGTCCATGTTTGAACCAAGGCTTTAGTCCTAATATAGATTGACAAAATCAGATTGGTAGAGGTAGTTGTAATTCATAAAGCAAACTCAACAGGTTTCTAGAATAATATTTTGTGGATCCATCCAGTGATCAGGCTGATTTGGATCTGGTGGTGTGTAAGAGGCAAGTTTTATAAATGATCTCGATCTCAATAGAAGATCCCAGAGGAAACTGACCATAACATGATAGAATTTAGCATTAAGTTTGAGAAACTCAAATCAGAAACAAATATGCTGGACATTTTTTTTTTCAGGATAATTACAAAAGGAATGATGGCAGACTTGGCTGGAGTGGACAGGGAAGTAGTTTAGCAGAAGGGATAGCCGATGAACAAGGTTCAATCATACAATGAACATAAGGTTTAGCAAGGGTTTGAGAAAATGGGTGCTGAAAGATTGTTTCCTTGTGGCAAAGTCTATAACCAGAAGGCATAATCTCAGAGTAAGGGGTCACCCAATTAGGACAGAGGGGAGGAGAAATTTCTTCTCTTGGAGGGTAGTGAAACTATGGAATTCTTTACCGCAAGGCTGAGCTGTTCAGTATATTTAAGGCTGAGATAAGGAAATCAAGGGTTATGGGAAAAGGCAGGAAGGAGAAGTTGAGGATTATCCAATCAGCCATGATCTCTTGAATGGCAGAGTAGACTCATAGGCCAAACAGATGAGGAGAAGGGAGAGATCATTGTTTTGCATCATAGCAATGTGCTAACCATTGCGGAAGGCTACATTTTCAGGAAGCACAGCAGCAGAAACAATCCTTGTCAAATGAGTTATACAAGAGGGGGCTGGTCTCTTCAGCTGCAGCAGAATAGTCCATAGTCGGAGCTCAATCTATGCCCAGGAAATGTGACCCTGCTTTAGGAGGTGCATTTGTGCTTTAAATAGGCCTCGAGTGGAATGAAAAATAAAATTGTGTTTAAAAGGTGGGCAACGTGTCCACTTTCAAAAGACATCAGGGCATGTTCATCTATCAATTATATTGAACGGAGGCTAGAAGTTGGAAACAATCAGTTAATTATGTTGACAAAGTCATGGGCACCTCAAATAAATTTGTAACAGTTATCTAGAATCACCAGAAATTAATCCATTATATAAAGAGAAAAATTATACTCACAGATATTAAGATTTACTAAGTACAATTGCTTTTAGTGTTGGAATGAGAATATAAATTGGACGTATCTCAATTTTCAGTGTGTCTTTCAATTAAGAAACTCACTTCTCACCAGGATCCATATCTCTCAGACCAACATAAACAATATCTTTCGCAGTTAAGCATGGTTCCAGCCAACTGAATCCTGGGACACCTACAATCTGAGGTAGAAAACGTGAAGAGTGACTTGGAGTGAGTTTAAGGAAACTGATCCATTAGAAAATAGTTAGATAATTTGTTTAAAATGAGGTAACCTGGAAGTGTAAGAGCATTACAATCATTTTAATGGAGAAAGAGTTACCTCATACTTGGCACGTTGCAAACAATGAACATTGAACGAATTTGTTTTGAAACTATTCTTATATATTAAACAAGTTGTTTATTAATTCCTCAAGAGTTACCAGCTCACATCAAAGGCCAGATTAAAATATTGGTCAAATGTGACCTGCGCTCAGAGATAATTAAGTATAGTATTTCATTTTCAACTGAAGCTCCATAAAAACAGCAGCAGCCACTGAATCAGTTTTACTTTGGAACAGTATATTATGATATAATTTGCTTTATTAGAAATGTTAATACACTATGGACCTATTTCTTCTTATAATTTTACTATATTTTAGTCCTGATTTTAACATTTCTTGCCTGGCAGAAAGGTGTCCAGATGCATTAACCAAATCTTCCAAAAGTAAAATTGAGTACTAAATATCTTGCACATTTTTGACAAAATATTTCCTATTAAGTATTTATCAAACTTTTATACTAGATATTTACATTGGAAAAAATTATGTCCAGATTTATGATGGAGATTGCTCAAGACTAGTAACCTAGTCCGGCCATAATTTTACTCCCTACCAGTCATTGTAACAGCTGCTCAATTTGTGTTACCAAAAAAAAAACAAATTTTAATGCAAATTCCTTCCTTCTCTAACTACCCAACAGTGAATCAGCACATTTCTTGAATGCTCCAGTTTTAGACTGTCACAAGTTAGTTTTTAGTGAATAAAATGAAGATTATATTCTTTTAGTGTTTAACAGTAACTGCCAATCAGATGGCATAGAAGAATCATACACACAAACTGCCTGTTTCACCAAGGGGAGATCCAAAATCCTGAAAAAAAATCCAAAATCCAGCACTGACTGTGTCCTAAGGGTGTCAAATTTTTGACATGAGACCTGCAATTAAATCTGAAAGTGCTAGAGGAATTCAGCAGATCTGGCAGCATCTGTAGATAGAGAGAAATGGCATTAACGTTTTGACTCCAATCGGACTCTATGTTTATTTCAGATCACCAGCATCAGCAATACTCTGATTTTATTATTATAATTAAATCTCCTTTGTTCCAATAATTCTTGCCCTCAAACCCTGCTTCATCTGAAGGGTCCATTTGGTCTTGAGTCTCCATGAGTAAAGTTAAAGATTAACTGTCATTTCTGACTCATGGAAACCTTTCAGTCCATTGAGTTAATGCTGATTTCCCTCACAGCAATCCAGTCAGTCCTACTCCCCTACATGATCCCTGCAGCCCTGTAAAGGTATTATTTTCAAATGTCCTTTTCAAATCATTGATTGTTTTTGCCTCCACCACCCTTACGAGCAGGGAGATCCAAATATCACTCACTGTGGATAAAAATTCCTCCTTGTATTCTCTCTGCATCTCTTTCCCAGATTCTTAAGTATATATTCTTGTCCTTCTACCATCAGCTAATGGGAAGAGTTTTCTTTGACTACCTTATCTAAATCAGCAACTGTAGAATAAAAGGTAATTCTTCTGAAGAAAACTCACTGGACTCAAACATTAACTCTGTTTTCCTTTCACATGTGCTGCCTGGATCTTTGCATTTAACCTAAAGTGTGGTGGCCAGACTGGACACAATTTAGTTGGAGCCTAGCCAGAACTTTACAAAGGTTCAGTACAACTTCCCTGCTTTTGTACTTAATGCCTGTAACTTATGAATCCCAAGATCCCATCTGTTTTTGTAAAAAACCTTCTTTACTTTTTGCAACTATAAATTAAAACGGACATTGGACTGCTCTAAAATTGAAATACATGATGAGAAGTTTCCAATTTGAAAATCAAGTGTACTTATGAACTCTGCATCACAATGTTGTTTTTTGAAGCAGTGAATGAGAAAATTCAAGACGGAGTGGCACCGAGATTCTTTTGAGTTATGGAAATTCTGCCTAACAGCTGAGATTTAGAGTGTTAAAAAGCTATTTATGCTGCAACGACAGAAAGAAATATCCAGTGCCTACAAACTTAAAGCATCCATCTCTCTCTCACTCTCCGTGTGGTTAAAAGACAGAAAACCAAGAAAGCATGAAAGAAGGAATTATAACAAGAAAAGTGTAGGCTGACCTGATCAACTATTGTGCTGAAGAACAGCCATTATGCTGTTGTCTGTAGGGTGTCATCAGTGCTAAAAATCATAAAAGAGGACCGTGAGAGACATTTAAACCCTCACTTAAAAATCTGGATTTGTAATCCTTGAAATTTTGTTTGATACAATTGTGTTATAATGAATAGTTCTTTTTTGTTAATGACAAAACCAAGTATGAATTGATGTTGTCCTAAACAGCTGTTAGTCAGACAAAACCAGCCACCTGTACAAGACCACAGATTAAAAAAAAGAGTATAAGCAAACCATTCAGCCCATAGAGCCTGCTTTATCACTTAACAAGATCACGGTTGATCTGATAACCACAATTCTTGGTGAACTAATTAGAATTTTATATATTTTTGGAAGGTTTGTGGAACAGTGGAGTATGATTTTTTTTGCACTCCCCTTCCCGGTTAAGTTGTAACCCAAGATCTTTGAAGACAATGCAGGGTTGGGTGTGGAGTTAGTATAACTGGTAAAGGATAAAAAATACCTGGTTTCTCATACAAATAATAAATGGCTAAAATCATCCTGCAGTTGGAACAGATATCCCCGATGGATTTACAGGCAATAACAAAAATCAGACTGCTGGAATTGGCAAAAACTTTATAAGCAAATAAGTTGCCTGCTGGAACTAAGAAGGCAGGGTAATTGAAATATTGGCCAAGCATTTAGGACTGCATTACAGGAATACATAAGGGATGAGGTATAGAGAGTGATGTCACTTGAATTAGCAAGTATTTGATTACAGTTTAAAAAAAGCTTAAAACATGAAAAAAATAATTGGGGCAACTTGAGGTAGAAAAAGAATTTAAAAAGTAGGAAATAGATTTTAAAAATTGAACTTTAATTTCAAAAGAACACAAGAAAGAAAATGTACTTCTGGAGAGAGAAAGAAAACAAAAAGGGAAAAAAGGAGACAGATAGAGAATCAGCTTAAAATTGTGTAGTTAAAAAATTTAGATGCCGGTGAAAGTCGTAATGGAGAAAATCCCAGTCATAATCTAAAATCCAGTGGAGAAATTTTTAAGTTCGTACAGGCCCTACCAAAAGTTGAGGGAAAGAATTTGGAAACATTCTTTATATCATTTGGTGAAATACTGAGCAAATGAAGTGGCCAAATGAAACCTGGATATTACCAATGCAAAGTAAATTGACAGGTAAAGCACAGGAAATTTATGTTTTACTGTTAGGAGGTTTTATAGGGATTACGACTGTAGAACTGCTATTTTGGGTACGTACAAGTTAGTTCCCCAAGCACACTGGCAAAACTTTTGAAATTTGACAAAACTGCCTGGATAAACCTTTGAATTTGAAAAGGATAAAGCAGAGTAATTTTGACAAGTGGTAATGGGTTTGTGAGTAAATACCACAAATGAAATTCTTAGAAATCATTCCCTTGGAAGAATTTTAAAACTCACTACCTTTTATAATTGGAACCTATGTTGAAGACCAAAGGATGGAAATGGCTGATGATTATGAACTCATCCATAAAACAAAAAAGCAAAACAAACAAGCAGATGCTGAAAAATCTTAAAAACAAATTGCTGGAGAGACTCAGCAGATCTGAGTGGGTGGGTAAAAAAACATGGAAAAATGGAATCAGGTTCAAAAATTAGAGAACTCACTGTTAAGTACTAGAGGCTGCAGGGTGCCCATGTGGAAAATGAGATGCTGTTCTTCAAGTTTGCGCTGAGGCTTGCTGGAAATGGCAGCAGGCCTAAGAAAGAAATGTTTGTGTGGGAATACAGTGGCAGGCAACTGGATGCTCTGGATCATTTTAGCAGACAGAATGTAGGTATTCTGCAAAGCAGTCACCTAGTCTACGTTTCATCTCCCCAATGTAAGGGAGCCTACATTGTGAATTGTGAATACAGTATTCTAAATGAAGTGAAATACAGGTAAATTGCTGCTTCACCTGGAAGTATATTTGGGACCTTGGATGGTACTACACCTTGGAAGGTATTACACTTTCTGCATGGGAAGGTGTCATGAGAGTGGGAGATGTTGGAAATAGAGGAGTGTACCAGAGTGTCTGGGAGGAATGATCCTTGTGAAATGCTGACTAAGGAGGGGAGGGGAATATTTTTTCTCCCCTTGTCTAATCCCTCTCCATGTACGTCCCCAGTTTGCAGGCAGCAGCGACTTCCTCACCACCACGGACTTCTGTCTTGCCCTGCTATCTATATCTCTCTCTCTGGGCTCCATTTCCACTTATCTGCTCACCTCCTTTGTCACCTCCTCCATAAACCTGAGAAGGAAAGAGGGTGAGAGAGTGAAAGCAAGTAGCTGGGGTAAAGAAAGGAAACCTGAGAACATCCCAAGATCCCCATTTAAAATCAGAAATCAGCTAAGAGTGGAGATGAAAATTGCAAATCTAAATCTTTCAATTGTAATAAAGTCAGGCATCTCTGTACAAAATGCTGGAAGTTGCAAGGGAATCCCATAGGATTTATTAGGACTTGTAAGAGCAAGAGTCATGAGAATCCAAAAAGAGCAGGCTCATAAGAGTCCAAAGATGGAAATCAAGAGAAAAAGAAGATTAAATTGTAACTTTACCTCCAACCAGGAAACCTAAGTTCGGAAGAGGAGAATAGAGATATACAGGAAATATATTCCCCTTTTCTTCAAATGAACTATACTATTAGACACAAAAGCTACTCATACTCTTGCTGTAAAAGAACAGTTTTCCTTCCAGAAAGCGCAAAGCCAAAGTGTTAATAAATGGAGACTCTATTCCAGTTCCATCATCCAAAGTGTAATTGGAGTGTGACTTTTTTCC